CTAACAACGTGTCCTGCCCAAACCGACTAAAGGAACATGCATTTTCTCTGTCTCTCTGTGCCCGTGTCTGTGTGTCTATTTCTCCTTATCTTTGTGTGTACGCCCGTGCCTGTGTAATATCTTAGACTGGGAATGATGGATGTCATGCAGCGAGAGCGTGGGTAGGGGTTGAACAAGTACAGGATTGGGGACGCCATAGTGAGCATAAGAGCCAGGGTAAGCATCGTGATATTCTTAAATCTTTCGGTAAATTCACGTTGAAGGGAAACAATAAAATAATAAAATATATATAAAACAATAAAAATTCGCACGAAGTTTCGACCATAACACAAACGGTCGTCATCAGGTGTGTACGAAAAAACCAACACCTGATGACGACCGTTTGTTTTATGGTCGAAACGTCGTGAGAATTTTTATTGTTTTATATATATTTTATTATTTTATTGTTTCCCTTCAACGTGACTTTACCGAAAGAGCTAAGAATATGAATTACTGAAGTCACGAAAGCTTTAAATCAAAATTTAAGGATCGTGATGTTAAGCATAACAATGGGTATGTTCAATGTTGACAAGGCTGTACGGGTGAGATGAATAGCATGATAAGGGGGTAGAAAATATATTGGTAAATAATTAATCAATAGGAAACAGGGAGCTGGTAGGAAAGCAGATGTCAAGAACCGAGGTGAAAAATATTGCAAAGTTGGTAGAAGAAGAGGACATCAGTGGGGGCGACGGGCGAGGTGCGAAGCGCCGAGAAGCCCTCTGCATGAGGTAGAAGAAGGCGGCCACATGCCGCCAATATTCAAGTGGACTACAATTGGAAGAGTTGGGGACTCGGTGTTATGGAGAACAAGGACTGTCCATATTCGGCATTGAGGGCTGTAAATACAAGTGTGATGCCCGTCACATGGTAACATGAATCGTCGTGTGTAGCTTTTATTTCTTTATTTGTGCGACCCCATTGTAACAATAATGCTGTGTTCTTGGGTTCTTTTGGTAAAGTCAAGTAGATAGAAAAATAAAAATACAGTGAATAAAAGTAATAAAAAATAAAAATAAAAAAACCACTAATGTAGACTGTAGCCTGGTTCTAAATCGGAGTGAGTTTCCTGGCAGTCTATAATGTAGACTGTAGCCTGGTTATTAAGTTTGGTGAGTATACTGGAATTTTACAATGTAGACTGTAGCAATGGTTATTAAGCTGGGTGAGTGTACTGTCAGTCTATAATGTAGACTTTATCCTGGTTCTTAACCTCGTTGAGCGTCCTGGCAGTCTATATCGTATACTGTAGCCTGGTTCTTAACCTCGGTGCGTGCACTGGCAGTCTATAATGGAGATTGAATCCTGGTTTTAAGCTGGTGAGCGTATTGGCTGAATCCTCACCGTTCTCATGATCATTGCAACTCCACGAAGTGAGATCTTGCATGGAGCCCCAGTAAAGTCACGTAGAATGAGAATAAAATAATGAATTAACAAAATGAAATAACGCAATAAAATTCTCACGACGTTTCTTGTATCCCATTCCAGCCTTGTGTAGGTCTACAATCTTGTCCCTGACATCCTTGGAGAGCTCTTTGGTCTTGGCCATCGTGGAGAGTTTGGAATCTGATTGATTGATTGCTTCTGTGGACAGGTGTCTTTTATACAGGTAACAGGCTGAGATTAGGAGCACTCCCTTTAACAGTGTGCTCCTAATCTCAGCTCGTTACCTGTATAATAAGACACCTGGGAGCCAGAAATCTTTCTTATTGAGAGGGGGTCAAATACTTATTTCCCTCATTAAAATGCAAATCAATATAAAAAAATTTTGACATGCGTTTTTCTGAATTTTTTTGTTGTTATTCTGTCTCTCACTGTTCAAATCAACCTACCATTACAATTGACTGATCATTTCTTTGTTAGTGGGCAAACATACAAAATCAGCAGGGGATCAAATACGTTTTTCCCTCACTGTAGATACATCTTAGTTTAAGATGCCAGGATATTGCATGTCAGGAATCTTGTCCTTCACAGATGGGATCAGATCACGAATTGTATGTATTGTGTTAAATCTTACTTTGATCTTGTGTTATTTATAAATGTATCATAACCTTTCACCACCCGACATGGCCAAATAGTGCAAAATGTGTCACGTTGATAAAAGACAAATAGTTCACTACTCTAGCCCATCGGTGTGTTGAAGAGTGAATCCACAACATTTACAATTTTTGACTACGACGTTTTGCTGGTAATAACATCCAGCATCATCGGGCAATTTGCCAGAATAGTGAAGCCCTCCACCTGCTCCCAGTCTTAAATATCATTGTGCCTCCTGTGTTTCGGCCCGTGCCCCCAGGCGATCCAGTGGTTGGTGCGCCGCCCGAGCGGGAGCCGGAGACCGTCCCCGTTGACGGACCAGCGTCGCGGACTCAGTCCAAATGATTGCGATTCCATTGATCCTTGCTCTAGAGTTGCTCGGGAATGTCTGAGTGTCTAGGATTGTTGTGTTTTGTTCCCTTACTCAGTCTTGCCCGTTATATATCCCCTTCTCTCCATGTCCCCTCATTGTTGCGGGTAATTTGTTTTACGGGTTCTCCCGTTCTTTAAGGCACATCCCACGAGTCCTGTTTTATACCTCTTTATTGTCAATCTTATTCTGCGCATACGTGCTCTTACATGTTAATTAAATATTTGCTGGGACAGCTACTTTTTTATTATGGGGTGGGGGGGTGATGTAATGACATAGTGACATCTACTGGTTGGAAAAGGGAAGCACGGGTACAGGCACCACTATAAACATCATCCAATCCCCAAAGGGAGAGGTATCTGGGCCAAAGGTGAAGGGCGGGGCTGGCCGGCTAGAAGGTTCCACGAGAGGGCGTGCCTGGAGGCAGAGCCTAACCGCGCCTGCGGCAATATAAGCGGAGGCGCAGGAGGACTCGGAGTTAGTGTGTGGAGTCTTGGGTCCGGACTGCGTCGCTGCTCGCCGTCATCTCTCTCCGTCGTCCGGCCATGTGGTGGATCTTTTGATCTGATCCCATCTGTGAAGGACGCGAAGGCTCCTCTTTGTATTCTCTAAACTTCAAAGGCCCAGGGTGACGTCGTATCACGCAGCCAATCGTGCGCTTACCTGTGCCGTCGTCCCTCTAGACCATCTCTACATTGGCCTAATCCTCGTCCGCAGCGGCGGTCGCCGGCCACCCATTGTCCTTCACTGCCCATCGTCTGGAAGGACGCTTGCTCTTTTCTTGCCTAATATTCCGCCCTCCGTCCTCCCCCCAATGTTGTGAGTAGCTCATTGCGGTTTGCCTAGGGAACCTTTTCTTTCTGCGCACATATAATTTTAAACCAATTTTAGGGGCATCGCTATGTAACCTGTCCTGCGAGGGTCGGCCAATCTCCTGGCACTGGGAAACCGTGGGACTTTCCCCCTAGGGGCCCTTCGGATTACAACCCGATGAGCCAGGCAATCCCCCGCCAGGACACTACATGGGTGCAAGTGCTGCGTGTGTGTGTGTGCTCAGGGTGGGGGGTAGTGGATAATCGTGGTGCTTGCGGAGTTGCTCCACGGTCATGGCACCACACAATCACCGACTTACGAACATGCGACTGACGAACATCCACCCTTACGATCAAACCGCCATTTGCTTTTTATTAACCATCCGACTTGCGAACGTTCGCACCTACTTGCGAATTGAACAGCGGAACTCCTTTGTTTGGCAGAGCGATCCTCCTCAAAATGTAATGAGTCCCAGCTTCCCGATGGAAGTGAGTGTGTGTGTGTGAAAGTGCGTGCGTGAATGTGTGTGTGTACTCGTGCTCCCGTGTGTGTGTGAATTTGTGAGGACGTAGTATGCCCCTTCCGACAAGCAAGTCAGCATCAGCACTCAAAGTGAAAATGAAACAGATGTTTGTCTTTTCAAGTTACTTTATTGTACAACTTATATACTATTCTTAGTTTTTTCGGTAAAGTCACGTTGAAGAGAAACAACAAAATAACAAAATATATATAAAACAATAAAAAATTCTCACGACGTTTCGACCATAACTCAAACGGTCATCATCAGGTGTGTTGGTTTGCATAAATTTATTTTTAAACGGCACATTTATTTATTTATAAAAAACGTTGGCGTCACGCGCAGCGATTTGGCAGTTTGCCCAGGACTAGTCCATCTATTTTTTTTTTTAAAGAGGAGGGGGGAGTCGAAATTTTTTATAATGTATGCTGTCTGAAAGCCACTGTAAGCGTGAACAATCAATTAAGAACTGAAATGGTTTATCAAATCTTTCCAATGATTGCTAAGATAGAATCCATCTTCTCGGTTGAAATTGTCTCTGTGCTTGTATATGTGGATAGCCTCATGAACGAATCTCTCATGGAAGCCAAATGGCTTACAAAGAACCTCCGTCTTGGAAAAGTCAATGGCATGTGAGCCTACTGAATTAGAACAATGATCTGCTACGGCCGAGGTGTTGGTCTTACCGTGTTTAAGGTCTGCTTTATGTTCACGAATGCGGTCCGAGACATGGCCGTAGCAGATCATTGTTCTAATTCAGTAGGCTCACATGCCATTGACTTTTCCAAGACGGAGGTTCTTTGTAAGCCATCTGGCTTCCATGAGAGATTCGTTCATGAGGCTATCCACATATACAAGCACAGAGACAATTTCGACCGAGAAGATGGATTCTATCTTAGCAATCATTGGAAAGATTTGATAAACCATTTCAGTTCTTAATTGATTGTTCACGCTTACAGTGGCTTTCAGACAGCATACATAATAAAACATTTCGTCTCCCCCCTCCTCTTTTAAAAAAAAAAATAGATGGACTAGTCCTGGGCAAACTGCCAAATCGCTGCGCGTGACGCCAACGTTTTTTATAAATAAATGTGCCGTTTAAAAATAAATTTATGCAAACCAACACACCTGATGATGACCGTTTGAGTTATGGTCGAAACGTCGTGAGAATTTTTTATTGTTTTATATATATATTGTTATTTTGTTGTTTCTCTTCAACGTGACTTTACCGAAAAAACTAAGAATATGAATTACTGCAGTCACGAAAGCTTTAAATCAAAATTTAACTTATATACTGTACAGCATTTACGATAGTTATACGTGCAAATGTACAATATGACTTCTTATTTATGAGTTTAACAATGCTTAAGTTTTTTTTGCGGTAACAATTTCTATGTCCAGTATGTAAAGTGCATAAAATGTAATATTCAGTTCCGAGGTACGAACAAATTGACTTTCAAAATGCGTGTTCATTCATAACATGTGTGTGAGTGTATGTCTGTGTCAAGAGACATACACTCATAGGTGCTCGCTAACAGCACTTTCCTCTACAGTCTATTAAGGCTATACGAGGGGGTTGGTCTTTATCTTCCTTTGTGTCAAGAGCGGTGGCACTGTAGTTAGCTCAGTGTTAAGAACCCGTCGACCGGAGTTCAATTCTAACTTATGATCAATAACAGTTGGGAATTTTTTAATTTATTTTAGCCTAAAAAATAGTTATTGATGTGGTGTATAAACTTCAGCACTGGGACTATGAAGATCTTCAGGCGTGGCATTGTTCAACAACCGCTTCTTGTGTCGATGCTGGCCTTCATTGGTTCTTGCTAATAGCACTTGTCCAACAGTCTGTTCAAGGCGAGACGAGGGATATTTTTCTCGTATTTTTTCGTCACTTTTTAATTGGGGCAACTTGAAGCTAAAGCGATCTTTAAACTGCCCGAATTGAAAAGTTTACAGGAAGAATTGTCTGAGCCATCTAAATTTAGATGTCTTGGCTTTGGTAGTGGGGATGCCGCTAGTGAGGGTGCTCGTGGAGGTGGCAGCCATGGTGGCAGCGGTGGCGGCCGTGATGATGGCAGCCATAGCAGTGGCGGCCATGGTCACGTCGGCAGTGTTGGCCGTGGCAGCATCGGCTGTGGTGGCGGCAAGACTCAGCATCTCCATCTCCTGGTGGAGCATCTCCTTCTGCTGAAACAGCGCCACGATCTCCTGATACAGCGTCACGTTCTCCTCGTGCAGCGTCTGGCTTTCTTGACGCAGCGTCTTGTGATACGCGATCGCTCGCTGTTGCAGAATATTCTCCCGACGCAACGCCTCCATCTCCCGAAGTGCCGCCTCCATCTGCTCGCGAAGCATCTTGTTCTTCTGAAACATCATCGCAACTCGCTCTTCCTGCGCCTCATTCGCCTGACGCAGCAGCTCGTAGTTTTGTTTGCACGTTGACATATCTGACAATAGACAAGGATAAAAAAAAATAACAATTAGGAAAGGGACAGGCACAAGAAATATACTTTCTGCACAATGTACTTCTTACCTCACTTGTGGTTGTATTTGGCACATCTCCTTGTCTCTCTACATTCTAGATCAACAATGAGCCTCAATCGATGTTGATTTTTTTTGGTCTCTTGATTTTTCACTGTAAAGTACATCCATTTCCATTTCTTCCAGTTGGTTTCTATTCCTAACTTGATTAGCCCCCCCTTTTTTAACCAAGTTAAACCTAAGTTAAACTTTAGCAGCCTTATAGTTTACAGCAGTATACTGCAAGGCAACCGGTTTTTCAGCTTAAATACTGCCTCCTACCTCTTGTTCATGTATGTAATACTCTTCAACCTGCACACGGCCATCTCTCGGTCCCCCCAACCCCCTGCAGCATAACAAAAGGTGGCTTAACTTAGCCACCCCCACGGCCCTTCTTGGCTCCTCCCCCCCCCCCCCCCCCCGTAACCTGTATATAATCTCGGGTATCTTAGAGCTCTCTTCACTTGATACAGATATTTTACTGTGACGGTTTCCACCTGAATATGGAAGCTTGTGTTGCCTTCGAAACGTCGTGATTTAATTTAGTTTTTCATTTATTTTATTTTATTGATTTTTTACCTACGTGACTTTGCCGAAAAAAAAGAGTATGAATCCTTGCAGTCACGAAAGCTTCAAATCTAGAATTGGAATTGTCTTTCCAGCTGTGCTCACTTTTTGTGCTGGAATCATAATAGATTATTTTAAAATAAAAGTCAGAAACGTGACTAAAAATATTTTAAAAAATCACGCGCAGATATACATCCACACACATAAAGACCCGTAGACTCACAGAGACACGGAGACTATTCCACACTGAGATATCCACAGACTCACAGAGAATCCAATAGACTCATGCATACAACTAACAATGTACTCACAACAATGACCCATATACTCACCAGTAGACTGAAACAGAGACCAAAATACTCACTCACACGCGGAGATCCATAGACACAGAGATCCACATATTCACCCACACAGAGACCCTCATACTCACATGGAGACCCAGAGACTCATATAGACATCCACAGACTCATAAAAACGCACACACCGAGAATGTTGCTACTCACCGACACACTGACGGCGACACGACATGACGCCTATGATTGTAATCGCCATCAATATGAAGCCACTCGCAAGCAATGCCAGAGTCCATGACATTACGACCATGTCGGGTTTCGGGCATGGTGGCATTGGTATGGGGTAGTCCACGTCACCTTCCTCCTTGCCCGCGAAGAGGGGGAAGACGTTCCCAACAGACACGGGGCCCAACTGCAGCAGCAGCAGTAGCAGGAGCATCTTGCCGCTGGTGTCGCCAAAGTCCGAGTGCGATCACGTGCTTAGAGAGCCCCGTGTAGTGACGTCATCATTTCCGGCCGTGACCCGGGGTTAGAGATTTCCTGTTCTGACACGTGGTTTCGAAACGTGCCTGTGACGTCACAAGCTTTCAGATGTGTTATTTATTTATTTAAGGGAGTCATTTATATCCTGTACTCGCTAGAATTCAACACAGTGACCTCTGCATTACAAATGTACGTGATATTTTTTTTTAAATGGCCATTTTTATTTAACATAGGATTGAAAATAAACTATTTTATTCATTTCATTGTCATCGAAAAAAGTAGTCAATCATACTCTTGGTATAAAATAAAATAAATCACGACGTTTCAGGCGCAACACAAGCGTCCATCATCAGGTGGGAAAGTGTGGTCTGCTGCTGAGGCAGACTGTTTTAAAAGGTTTGAAATGGGTGTAGCTCAAGGGTCATAAAGAAGTGGCCAGGGCTGCTGCTACTGCTGCTGCTGCTGAAGTTGGGCTTCATGTCTGTTTGGAATAAATTAAAAATGCTATTTTTTTGTCTCTCTGCCTCCGTGTCTTTGTGCAGTCAATCCATACACGTGAGTGCAATCATGTGGTGCTTGAAGCAAATATCTCAGTCACTGTGTAAGCAAAGGAGATGGACATACAGAGACAGACAGATAAACACAAAGTTATAGGTGTTACAGTACACAAGTATCTCCACTCGAGTCTCACCTAAATATAATGTAGGTGTCTGTGACTAACAACGTGTCCTGCCCAAACCGACAAATTTAAAATGCTATTTTTTTGGCTCTGTCTCCGTATCTTTGTGCCTGTTTCTCCTTATCTTTGTGTGTATAATAACCTTAGACTGAGAGTGATGGATGTCATGCAACGAGAGCGTGGGTAGGGGATTGAGCAGGTATCGGGAACGCATGGTGAGCATAAGGACCAGGGTAAGGATGGTGATGTTAAGCATAACAACGGGAATGTTAAAGGTTAACAAGGATGTCAAACTGTTAAAGTAAACTATATTTTTTTTCACCAGGCAAAGTCCAGTGAGCTATTAGCTATTTTTCAGAAGCGACCTGGCCACGGAGTAGGAAGAGCAGGGTCAGAGTGTGCCATGAGTGGAAACAGGAGTGAGACTAAGTGGGGGAGAGCACGCCAGGGTAGTGCAAGTGGCAGGGAGAGAGAGCGGTCATGGGAGTTTGACACGGGCCGACTCAAGAGTTGGGGATGCGGCGTTTCACTCTTTGTGCCTAAGGGCAGCTACTTCTGCCAGAGCAGAAGTAGTTGCCGGAGCAGAAGTAGCTTCCATGAAAATTGGCGCCATAATCCCCTTTTGCAGCTGATTATCTGGTGGAGCGGGAGTGATGACATAATCCATAGAACACACCTGGGTTTTTGTCGCTACTAATTTAAAATATGTGCTGTCTGCTAACTTAGTCCGACTCATTTTCGGCAGCCTCCAATTGTTATTCTTTTCGTCAGCTTCTGAAAAGGGAACCGTCGAAATATTATAACCATAGCTTGAGTTTTGTAATCCAACCATCCATCCGATGGTCTGCAGGATATTAACCATGGAGGCCGTGCATCTCAAGGTGCGAACCTCTTGCAACGTGCGGCATAGGCGCCACCGGTCATCCAGCATGCCGCTGATTCTCATCTTTGACGCACTGATTTGTTGATGTGTTTTGTATAATTAGTGTCATCATCTACTTGTACTCTTGTAAATTGTTTGACCAAGTGTAGTGACGTAAAGGTTGTCACTATGGTGTTAGCGCCAGGCACTGTCACAAGAGTGCTGCTGTGCGTCTTGAGTCTCTCTCTGGCACCAGGGTTTGTATGCCATGGAGGCGGACCCCTAGAGGGCATGATTCGGATGACGGCATGATTCGGATGTGACAGTCTGGGTGACCCCAAGAGGGCACGTGACCGGCACAGCTTGAGGGACACGTGATGCGGGTCGAGATCCTTCTGGTGAGATCCAGAAGGGGGCGTGGCCGAAGGCGGAGCAAGGCCACGCTCAGGAGCATAAAAGGGCAGTCCCGAGAGCGTTCTTGGCTGTCTTCAGGAATCACCTCGCCGTGCTACGTCTCTTCGTCGTCAGTCATCGGTCGTCGGTCTTCGGTCGTCACGCTCGGCATCATGGGTCAGGCAGACGTTGCTGACCTGACCCGGTTATGTAGTTACCCTGTTGGAGCTAGTTAACTGTGTTGTACGTTAAGTAGTGACTCTGTTGGGGTCCAGTTAGCTAAGTTGTACATTTACGGAGTTACCCTGTTGGGGTTGTTAAATAAACCTTGTTGCCAACAAGAACAAGTGTGTGTCTCCGTGAAGAACACTACACAATTATACGGATGGTATTCATGTGTGCAGTACATGTGTAGTGTAATAGCGCTGGCTGGTGGACAACAGCAGAAGCTGTGGTGGACAGACAGTACACAAGGCGGTGAGCGTGAGCACGGTGTGTTGGCAGAGCGGAGGAACTAGGCTAAAGGTCACGGAGGACCCCATCTGGAGGCCCCTGGAACCTGCTAGCGGGTTCTAGAAGGGAGGCGCTGTCAGGGTGGAGCCAGGCCACGCTGGTAGCATAAAAAGAGCCGAGAGCGGGGGCTCAGGGCTGCCGATTCTGGGAGTGGACTTGTCTCGTCATTCCTGTTGTCTCGTCGCCGTCGTCACTGCCATCTTCACTAAGATATTGCCCTGCAGGAAGTTGTTGTCCTTCTCAGTCAGCGCTGTTAGTGTTTGACGGTTAGGGTTGTGTACAGGCTAGGCTAAAGTAACTGTGGAGAGTGTAAGGACGAGACCGTGGAAGTTGTTTAATAAAGAAGGTTCCTCGAAGAAACTGTCTCTGAATCATTGACACTACACATGGTTAATTTTATGCAAATTTGGACCAAAAGCATTTGATGTAACTGCCCAAACGTTTTGGAACCGCTGAGATTAGTTTTTTGGCATCTCCATTCTGCCATATCTGCCCTCATTTAAACTGACGCGATTCAAATGACTAAAATGTAAGTTAATTAGGGAAATAAACTTGTGATTCTGATCGACATTCGCGAATTCTATTTTCGCGCAAATTTTCAAGCACTTAACCCTCGTGATTTTTAGGCCTTACCACATTCGACAAAAGTTTTACCCGCTGGCTGGCTGCAGGGCAGGAAGAATGGATGGATATACAGATTGTCTCTCTCGAAGGAGGATTAAGGAAATCCGTATGCAATACAAATTCAATATTCATAAGAATTATAATGCACTGCATGCATTCTCAGACAATTTTCAGTCTGCCATGTTCACATGGCCAGGAACTTGCATGCGATAACAGATCTTGTTTTGTTCATTCATGGTCATCCAGGCCTGTTTGTTTTATTGGAAAATAAATCTTGCATGACCGTGGGTGGCTTGCGTTTTGGAATTTTTACAAAGCCATTTAATCGAGCGTAAGAAAAATGCATCGTTCGCCGCATGCCGACATTTACATCGGCTGGGACTTTCTCACAACCAGTTTCCTGCACTGCGGGGACTGGGCCTAGAAAATAACCTTCACCATCTCGGGTGTTGTTTGCCTTGTGCCTCCAAAAATTCCACAGAGCTCGGTTCAGAGCGTCGGTAAGTATCAACGTTGTATATATTGTAAGAAATTTTATATTAATTAAAGATAAATATACATTTTTAAATAATAAAATAAACCAAACATCTACTAAATTATTTAAAAATATGGTAATGTATGGAATTAAGTGCGATTATCTAAAAATGTGTGTTCAGTATAAGTGTAGTGGAGTAACACGCGCATACAGGGGGAAATGGTAAAGACGCGCGAGTGATGGACAGTGGGGTCATGTCGGGCCGGCCAGGTGCGGCGGTGGGAAACGGTGAGGTAATGACGGGCCAATTAAGCTGGGGAGCGATGGACGGCTGTGATTGGCTGAGGTTGTTGTCAAGGGCAAGGTGGCGCCGGAATGTCTGGGAATAGAGGAGGCAGGCAACAGGTGTAGGAGGATGCGGGGCGTCGGGGGCACGTGGCTAATTAATTGGTGAGCAATGAGACCGGGGATATAAGGGGGAGACGGGAAGACAGAGGAGAGTTGTGATTAGGGCTGGAACAACGCAGGTGGGAGAGAACGGGGAGAAGACATAGGAGACGGAGCAGCTAGCAGTGGAGAGAGACAAGCAGAGACAAGCGGAGACAAGCAGAGACGAGCAAAGACAAGCAGAGACGAGCAGAGACAAGCAGAGACGAGCAGAAACAAGCAAAGACAAGCAGAGAGCGACAGAGATACAGAGAGTACAGAGGGAAGCGGAGACAGAGAGAGAGACAGGGAGAGATAGATGGAGAGAGACGGAGACAGTGAGAGACGGAGAGAGACGGGGCCAGTGGCTCGGACCAGCAGACATGGCCGCAAAGACAGGGCTGCAGTCGCTCCGGGTGGCTGCCCGGATCCTGGCCGAAGCCAAGGGGGCCTTCTCAGCGGCAGCGGGAAGAATGCCCCCCATCGGCGTTGAGGAGGATGAGGCCCCTCTCGGTCCCCCTCCACCGGAGCTCTCAGTCGTGCCACTGCATCACCAATGCCGACAAACGAAGGCGGATCACAACCTGTGCTGGCTGGAAGACCTGCCGGAGGTGACCTTTGCAAATGTAAAGAGGAAGGATGCTCTACTCCTACTTGGTCCGGTTTCACCAACAGGACACCCTGAGGAGCCACAAGGACCATGCCTGGAGGAAAGCCCTGCCCTGCATCTCTCCGGAGAGGCCTCGCTGGAGGCAACTCCACTCCAGCCCGACGTACAACCGCATCGGAAACCTCAGCTGGAGCATCACCCATGGCACCGTCACCACCAATTCCTCCCTGGCGCGCTTCACCGACATGTTCCCGGAGTGTCGGTTCTGCGGTAAAGTGGAGACGGTGGCGCACCAATACGTGGAGTGCAAGAGCTTGGACTCGCTGTTCAAGGTCCTGAGAAACGCCCTCCTAAGGTTCAGCCTCCACTTCTCCCCGACGGTCCTCATCTTTGGATACCCGAAGGGCGACGGACCCCAACATCTTCAGGGGCTGGTCAACGTGCTCTTCGGCTACGCCAAGCTCGCCATATACAGGGCGAGGAAGGTAGCCCTGGAGGGGCAACGTCCAGCCATCAGCCTGGGCATCTTCCGCGCTCTGGTCGGAGCCAGGGTGTGGCTGGAGTTCCGCCATGCGCGGCTGACCCACGCCGTGCTGGCCTTCAAGGAGCAGTGGGCGCTGGAGGAGGCCGTGTGCTCGGTGGCAGATGACGGAGAGCTCTGCATGCAGATATAAGCTACCCGTCGGAGGCCGTTTGACTGTGGGAAGGGCTGCGTGCAGATGCAGCACTTGTCGTAGTTATAAAAAAGGGAGAGCGAGAGAGCGAAATGAAGTAGGAA